ACAAATTTACAATACGCCTCAAACGTGTACATTGACCAAGGGTGTATACAAATATTATACAAAGGGTGATCAAACAAGATGCTCAAAAAGAAGTCACAGATGCACCACGACTGAACTGCAACAATTACAGTATTTCCACTAGCACGCCCGAAGAAGGGATCCGAGAGATTTTATTTGACTATACATAGATGTCGCATGAATCATCAAAAAATGTCTATCAGATCAGCGCTCCAACTAACAGGACTGTTCTTCAGAAAACAATACTATACGAGGGTTCTAACAAAATTTCTTGGAGTAGCAATGAAAATGGCCTACAGTTGAGCTGAAAAAATTTTTTCTTTAGGGAAAATGGATGACCCTCCAGGTCATCCGAGGCAATTCTGCCATTTTCATCAACAGCCGCCTTCACAGCTGGGGACTAAGGCAACCCTTAGAAAGAATGCCAAGTTGATTTCAAAAATTCGGAGGAGAAAGCTGGGCTACAACAAAAAAAGGGCGCCTCATCTTTTAAGTGGAGAGCAAAACTCTGCCAGGGTGAATTATGAAAAAAAATTCAAAAAACTTTGTCAAACAGGGCTGATATTTTTTTGTGTGCCAAAGAATATGTTTTCCCTAAAGAAAAATTTTTCTTAAGCTCAACTGTAGGCCATTTTCATCGCTACTCCGAGAACTTTTGTTAGAACCCTCGTATATGGCATTTAAGTGAAATGGTATACAAACACAATAAAAAAATAACCACATTGATCCGTGCTCTAGTTACATGTGAGATAAAAAAAAGCTTGAAAATATCGCAAATTTCGACTTTCGCATGCACAAATCTTTTTATAGAAAAGCCCCCAGGACATTCTAGAAAACGTACTTTTTGTAAAAATTCACGCTAATTTCGCCAATAAAAAAACATAATTCAATAAATTTAATCATTCATAATTTTAGAATATCGCTATTAACGACAGATGATTTGTATTAAGTCAATTCTCCATGATTGTGGAATGTCGCTATAATGAGATGATTTTTATATATTCAATCTTCCACGATTTTCGGAAATCGCTAATAACAGATGAATTTTATTAACTCAATCATTATTTGATGATTTCAGAACCTCGCTAAAAAAAGATAGATGATTGAATAAATTCAATTATTCATTTATGATTTTAGAGCGTTGTTAGTAACGACAGATTATACTATAAATTCAATCATCCATGATTTCAGAATATCGCTAAGAACGACACATGATTTTATAAATTCATTAATGAATGACTTGATAAATTCAATCATCCTTCATTTTAGATCACTCTGAAGAATGAACGGATAATAAAGGTTCCCCTGCAACATATTTAAAAGCTCCTTCCTCAAAAATAAAAAAGTAAAAATAAACTGCACAGCAGGTATTCACCGTCAAACAGAAAATTTAAAAGAAATGCGCAAAAAAGGGGTAGGCACAGAGAAATAAAAAACAAAAACAGGGAAAAACAAACTCATCTAACCGGAGGTGGTCAACAAGAACCTTCTTCCTGATCATCATCAGAGCTGCTTCCTTGGGGACTCGGACAACTCATGCGGCGAGCTAAACATTCCACAAGATTCCATCGGGATGGTATAACAACAAAAAGGAACAGGAATAAAGTATAAGACATCCAGAAATTAAAAGAAAGAAGAAGGCAAGCACAGGCCAATTTTCAACAATCATGCAAAAAGAGCAAAGATTCTCATCATTCCCGACTTCCGGAGTCCCGATATTTTTTATTTTTTCGGGAATGCAAATCATTTTCTAGAGGGTATGTACCCCAACCTGGTTCTTTTTTCAACTTGATACTTGACGCCTCTTTTCATGCTCAAACGTCAGCATCGATTTATTTTTCGTTTAGGATTTTTCTAATTTAGTTCAAGGCATTTCTTTCACATTTTCTTGGGAGTGGCCGATTGAGAACCTCTGCATCAAGAGAAAAATAGGTAAAGGGGAGAAGAAAAAAAATATGGGTTTCAAAAATACCGGCAACGATTTTCGTTCTCTCAATCACTTCCTTGGCCAGGGCTTGGTTCAAGGCGAGCATGTGCTCGCGACGGCGTTTCTCCGCCTCAACCTTGGCCTTCATGAGTGTGCCGTCGTGGCCGTTTTCCTCCGTCGTTGTACTTGTTCGGGACGCCATTCCCGGCGTCTTGGTGGACGACCCGTTCTGTACATATGAAGATTAATAAATAAAGTCAAACCTTTTGAAATTGAACAAGGGACCAACAAATCAATTGAGTAACGGACACAAGCATCTTTGTTGGGAAAGAATGAAGAAATGAAGGAAACTATAACTGGTGACATTTTGGGCCTTGAATTGCTTCTTAACCGAGTTGACAGGATGCTGAACTTACAAGGCTAGTTCATTTGCCCGATTAGTCTTTCACTTCCTTTCAAAGCACATAAATTTGCACTTTTATTGGTCCTTTTCTTTCCCTAAGTGTCAATAAAATCATTGCCAAAAGGCTTCCAGAGAAGGGCGGTTTTCAATTTATTTTTCCAAGGGTATTCAGACAGGGACTTGGTAAAATTCGACATATAGAAGTTCAAGTCATTGAGGTTGAAAAGTAATTTAGGATTGACATGAAAGACATTTTCCCAGAGGAATATTCAAGCATTTTCAGACATTTCAAAATTTTAATCATCCAGATTCAAGAGGAGTGACATCAAAGTTAATTCCATCACTGCGAGGTGATAAGATTTCACCCAGTTAAACCGATATCCGGTATTAAAATTTAATCGAATAAAATTCCAAGTTCCACGTCATTCCAGGAAGTATTAATAATGATAAAAGCATTTCACTCACATTTGACAACACCAGACCTCAATGAAAAAAATTAATTTTCTGATCATCGAAAATTTCAAGCTAATGATTCATACTATGTTATCAGCAATGAAACGTCAATTGGCGTCTGAAAATATTATCAAGTTGACGAATAAAATTGAAAAAGGTCTTCAGCAAATAAAAAAAGGTTTGGTTTAAGTGATGATTGCACAGTTTCTCAGAGAATTATCACCCAGAAAATTCCCAATTACAGTATATACAGTCAACCCCTGATAAGACGCCACCATTTGTCCAGAGCAATTTTGGCAGTTTATCAAATATTTAATATTATTTGATCAAAAGTAATCAATTTCCTCCAAAAGTCATAGAGATACAGGTTATGTATAGAAACTTCAGTAATTTTCCAAAGAGTATTGCTATGATCAATGGATCACTCTTCCCAAAAATAAATTTTGCTGCATCAATTTATTCAAATTTTAAGATTAGGTCAAATTATTTTTCAAACTTTTCAACATTATTATTATTTTTTCTTAGAAATACAAGATCTTTGGCAGAAATTATAATTCAACCCCAATGTTGGCATAGTAGCAAAGACAAAACTAATTGGAAACAGCATTTTTGTTTCATCAATAATGCTGGCGGATGTCATCTTATTGCGGTTTTCTATAGACTTTAACATAGAGGAGATTTGTTTCATTCGAAATTTTGGCGGCTGCCAAGGGTGGCGCTTGATTGGGGGGCGTCTTAACAGGGTTTCACTGAACGACATACATTTTTTCCACAACAGGATTCCTCGAAAGTGAAGAACCCGACAAAGAAACATGATCATCAAAAATGGGAATTCACCTCAGGTACGTATCTCTCGGGAATGTTGATTTTCCTCGGCTTACTCAGGATCGTGTCAATAGTCTCTTCATTATACCTGAGCTCCTTCTTCTTGGTGATGGTGGAACGAACGACATCTGGCGTGCTGAGGCGGTTGTGGGGGCTTCTCAAGGCACGCTCCATGTCTAGGTCATCTGCCCACTTTCCTCCAGCAGCCTGTTCGGAATAATAACATTTCTTGACAAATTAAATCTCAGCGATTCGAGAGCAGAAACATTCTTGTTCAGTCACGAGCCGATCGCTTTCTTTGCTTCAAGGATGATTGATTAAATCGAAGAGGGAAATTTAATTGCGAAATTAAAAAAAAAAAAAACTACGTAAATCCATAACCATCACCAGCATCCATTTCTACTCTAGGTAAATATTATACGAGCATTGTCCAGAATTGACCCATGATTTTCGATTTGTAAAACTACGAAAGGACAAGAAGCAGGATTTGGAGTCGAAAGTTGAATTAATTTGCATTTTACTCGAATTAAGTTCCAAAAAAACACCCAAGTGCCATTATACTCGCTTCTTGTTTGCTTATTTTTTTATGATTTACGATTGAGCTTTGGTGAGACAGTTTAAAGCCTAAATATATTCTGTTAAAAAGTTCGCCATCTTGAGAAAGGTGCGCAACGTGTCTTTTCATGGTTTCTGGGTTCAGCTTCCTGTCTTTATTTAAATTTGAATTTGCTCACAAAACCGAGGATATAGACGAGTCATTTCAAGAAATCACGCGTGAACAAGAAAACGACTGCAAGCCAACTCGAAAAGAGTGAATGTTAGGATGCAAATTATTTTTTTCATCACGCAACTATACGTATTCAATCGACGTAAATTTCTCCTTTGAACCAGGATCAAGTTTATCCATACATTTTTTGAGGGTTTCCAGTTTGCGAAAAAAAACCCCCAAAATTTATTAACTCATTCTGCCAAAAGCAAAATAAAAACAATTGACCATTACAATGGGGAAAGCGTAAAGAGACTAAAAATTCACGTTGTAATGCAGCTTAATCGAGAGATAATCCTCAATTCCAGATTAAAAAATATGCAACCAACAAGAATTATTTTTCACAAACTCAAAGCAGAATTTTAAAATTAGAGCACATGATTGAAGCCAAACATCATCCTAGGCTAATCAGAAAGTCACGAAACTTTCAATCGAATCCTTGGGAAATTTCGCAACTCCCTCGATGAATTCGAACTTCCGACTCGATACTTTCTTAAATAAATCAAGACTCTATAATTATTTTGGTTGAATCAGTTTTTTCTAATGGTAGACGAAAACGAAGAAACTTCGCATTTTGTTGTTGTTTCAATTGAGTCAAAATGTACTGAAGACGAACATCATCCTAAAGTGATGAGAAAATCACAAACTCTCAAGCGAATCTTTTCGGAAAATTCGCAGCTCACTTGATGAAAAATTCGGGTTCCGACTCGCGGATAATTTCTAAAATAGTCTAAAACTAGTAAAAAAGAATAATTTCACAGACATGACTACGAGAAAAATTGTTAAAAATGAGGAAAAAAACTGTTTTAGATCCTGAACTCACGCCATACAAAACACAACACCAATTACGATTCACACAGTAAATACATCTCCAGAAAGACATTCGTTTTGAGTTTTATAGTCAGCAGTCAATAACACGTCAAAAAGCAGCACCGAAAGCAAGACCATACAGGGGATGATGATGAAAAGTTTCGCGCAAGAATAAGTTTCATGCAAAAAAAACAAAACAGAAAAAAAAGCATGCAAGCATGGTTCGGATTATCATATCTCTTTTTTACCGGGTTCTTCTTTTTGGAAAAGTGCGGGGTGTTTTCCAGGGTGATGGGCTGACTACTCGACACGGTGTGGTGCTTCCGTCGCAGTCTCGGGTATTGGCGCAAATGCCGCGCCATCTCCTGACGACGTTGCGACAACTGCTCTTCGAAAGCCTGCGGTTATTGGCAAAATTCAAGCGCTATACTACATGTTCAAATTTCCAACGTACACAAAAACACTCTTCTCGTCATTATAAAGTCATGCAGTCGAGATATTTCGTCCGGAAAGCATCATCACTGAACGCGTACGTGAGTAAGAATGGGTTTTGTACTGTATTAGTAATTCAAAAAGTTCACTATGATACGTTATTTACCCGTAAGATCATGATAAACGAAAAAAGTGCATTTTTCCCACTTAGCTTAGAATTAAGAATTTTATGCAGATGAGTAGCATTCAATTTTACTAATCCTGGTAAGTTTGTAATAAACGTTATTATTACGATCCAAAAAGTTGTTTTCATGATCATAAAGATGATAATCAACATAAAACTGTAATTTTCCCAGTTTTCTGCATAAAACTCTGAATTTTAAGCAGAGTAGTATTAAATGTTAGTAATCCTGTTAAGTTCATAATGAACATTATTATGATCCAAAATTTATTGTCATGATCCGAAATATCAAAATAAACGTAAATTGCACTTTTCCTAGTTTCTGCATAAAATTCTGAATTTTGGGGTGAATAGTATTAAATTTAAAAAATCCCGGCAAGTTCGTACTCCGAGCTTTCTGAAAATGTCACACATTTTATCGACTGGAAGAGGCAAAACTGTGCTTTTCTCAAGTAATTTTCGTCGATTTTCATTTTATTCTGAAGTTTTAGCCCACAATTTTTCAAGACTGTATTCGAGCGTTTTTTGGGTAAAAAAAAATCGTTATGCAAAGCATTTTCGTTTCGCTAGTCACGATTTTACGCTGGAGAGTTTTCATTATGCGGGTTTTTCGTTGCGAAGCACTTAGGGTTCGGAATACTGTACTTGAGACGTCAAAGATTTGAAAGACAGAAGAATATTTTTAGAACGTCCAGAACAACGAAAAACTCGACAGCTTGCTGTTATTCACGCAAGTGAACCTCCACAAATCTGAGAACTTTTCATGAAAATTTTACAGACCTATGTGAATTATCGTTTTATTTCTTTATAGTTTATACCGGTGAACCTCGATAACTCGAACCTTTCCAAGTCGAATTTTTTTTAGGTACCCATTTGAAATCTTTCAGAAACAATACATTAAAATCCTCCCTCGGTCAAAGGCTTCTCCCCTCAAACCTCCATAAGTAGAATTTTCTGTGGACTTTTGGCCATTATTTTCTCGACGCAAGAAAGAAAAAGGCAATACAAACAGAAATTGATGTGTTTTAAAGGAAGTGAAAGGTTTGATTGGGCAAATGAATCCCTGCCTCCGAGTTCAGCATCCTTTCAACTCATTTGAGAAGCCATTTAATGCTATATTAAACACAAAATATTGAAACTACGGTCTTTCACTGAATCGACAGCTCAACATCACTGTGCGTCCTTCAACCACGTGTACATTCTACACCCACTTTTCTCTCGTTTTTCTGTGTTCGACTATTTATTTCGCTGAGGGTAAAAAGGCTTGAAAATAATCTTGATTTACCACAAATTAATTCCAAATTCCACCAGCTTTAGCATTTCTACAGTAGCACACTAGGTTTGATTATGTTCCGGGTGGAGGTGATTCTTTTTAAAGTTCAATTTATCAAACTAAATATCCTTTTCAAAAACATTTACTACAGAATTTGATCAATAAATTCCATTACCACGTCTCGCAATATACGTTAGAATTTCATATAAGCAAAGTCTTCGGAAAAACGTCTAGAAATACGTAAAGGACCTCATCAACTGTAACCTTCCTGGATCAAAAACCTCCATAACTCAAATTTGTTTCTAATGTACAGTAAAAAGCATTATCAGCACAAGCTTCCTTCACTCGAAACTTCTCCAAGTCGATTTTGTTCTTGTTGGCCCATTTAAATGCGAAGCCCGACTGTAACATTAAATGTTTGAGCAGTTACATTGCCCAATTTGCAAAGCGTGATTTCATCTTCGCTAAATAACTTCCCGGGGGGAGGGAAAAAAATTCGGATAGTTGCAAATACTGTACTGTACGATGATGATTGTGCGCAGATAATACTACTCAAACAGTGAATCAATATTTCCACAGCACCGGCCATCATTTCGGCAGAATATCTCAACGCGTAAAAAAAAATTGGCAAGTAAGCAAAGACAAAAAGCACAGCACGCCGATCACTTCATGCCATAAAAAGGAAACCAAATCATCATTACCCTTCCATTCAACTCATGCGTTCGCCCAGAACCAGGATGTCCCAACTGCTGATGTTGTTGTTGACCAGGATTCATCTTCACGGGTTGCTGATGCTGCCAAGTGTTATTCTTGCGATGATTGTTGTTCCTCGGCAAGGACATGGAGCGGTGAAATTGCGACAGGACGGGGTCAGTTTCCAAGACGATCTGCGGGTTCTCGAGCTCCGACAACAGTTCTTGCTCGTCCTTGGTCAGTTCTTCGCGCTGCTTGAGGTCCAAGGAAGAGTCGGCCCAGTTGGTCGACGAGATGCTGTTGCACACAGACGAGATCTCGCCCCCGGGCGAAGACACGATCACGGGTTCCGGGGTCTGTCGTCGAGTGCGGTCCTTTTGACGTTGTTGGCTCTCGCGTTTCACCGACCGCACTGTCTTGATCTCCAATGACCGCTCCTTGGCTGGAATCCCTTTGAAAATAATGATCAGCAAAGATTAAAATGCTCATAGAGAGAACATATTTTTCAAAATTCTGATTTGAACGACAGTTTAAAATGGTTGAAGATGGAAAACAAAAATTGGACGAAGCTTTCAAGGGAAGAAATCCGGAACATAAAGCTTTAGTCATTAATCTTGGATGAGAACTGGCGAGTTCAAAGTTTTAAATCAATTTACTGTCAGCAAAAAAAAAAATTCAACAAGAATTCACCCTGAAATTGCTTGAGGTGAAGGTCGTTGTCGGAATGATAGTTTTCATTCCCGCGCTGGTGCGAAACGACAGAAGGCGGCGGTGGCGGCGGCGCGTGTTGATACGGCGGCGGAGGAAACGGACTGAAAGCCTGTCGCGCAACCGGGGCGGCCATCGCTGAAGCTGGCCTAGCCCAGGCCACAGTAGTCTTCTCACACTGGGCCATCTGCCGTTGATGGTAGCTCATGAGGGATTCGTGGCTCGAACTGTGCGGTCTGTTCCTCACCGAGTATCTCCAAACTCCGGGCATATTTTGATGTTGTTGCTGATGCTTTAGAAAAAAAAAAGTAATTGACAATACCATGAACGAAGACGTGATTTTTTTCGGCGATGAAAATTACAGGAAAATAGTTTGTTTACTCTTTCCATTCAAATCGTACCTAACCCGATAAATTCTCCTTCGATTAGCAATTTTATCTTACGTCATTCACATTTTTTCCCTCGCATATTCGGAATATTCCATAATCACTGATACTGAGTAATTCGGGCAAGGGTGATAGGTCATGAACAGTCGGATAATCCGAGTTTCATTAGACTTCACAAAACTTACCCCAGGATTCATAAATTTCCATTTTTTCAAGAAAATGTGACCAAGGCTTCGAAGGGCATCAGAAGACGTCACACGGCTCCAAAATTATTCAACGCAAGCCAATTCATGAGAGAAAAATGACTAGTCTCCAGAACAACAACAGAACAAACAACTGCCCCAATATTTTCATGCACTTACTTGCTAGCGTTCAGTTGCAGCAATTTTTGAATTAAATTTCGACATCTCAGAAATTAAGTGAAGCACTCACTCTCATCCACGGATCAAATGCGCTGGGTTTCTCGGTGATGTTTTCGGGAAAGCTACCGGACGAGGCTCGACGAACGTGACTGAATGGCGGATAATACTCTCGTCCAGAGTCTGTTGGAATAAACGATGACGAGGTCAATTTCAAACAAATTTCAAACGCTTGCTTTTTCCACAAATAACATTACATCTGAGCTAATTGACAATGCTTGACAATTGTTATGCGGAGCTTATACAAACAAAATAAAATAAAATATGGATGCCAGAGATTGTTTACAAAGAAAACTTTGTAACACACAGAAATTGAAAAGAAAAACTTGAATCACCTGAAATCCCTGCATGATTTTGCTGAAGCTGTTCCCTTGATAGGTGGTTCAAGTGGCTGCTCGAGAAAGTCCTTTCAGTGATGGTTTTCACCTGGTGACTAAGGTCCATTCTGCGTCTCTGCAGATCTTTCGTCAGTTGCTGAAAAAAAACAAGCAAATTCCCAGTAATATAAAGTACGAAAAAAAAAATCGTCGACATTGAGACGTTAATTGAAAATACTGTACCTGTACTTTCACGAGCTCAGCCTCAAGCTCTTGGTTAGCCAGGTTGTGTGTTTGAAGACTGGTAGCATGCCTCAGAGCCACAAGCACCTTTTGTCGCAGAACGACGAGTTCATGTTCCAGTCGCATGCTCTGACCGTCCACATAGTCCAGCCTCTGAAAATCATGCACAAAAAAAGTCAATTCATCATTTCTTTCAAAGAAAACAACGTGATACAATGTATACACCAAAATATTTCGACTTGGGGGATAATTTTCAGTGTACAGTGAGACCCCCCACATGCGGACGCCTCGACCTGCGGACAATTCGACGTAGTGACACCTCTTTTCCCAGAAAAAATCAATAGATAAGGCCCAACATGAGGACACTGACTCGACATAGGGACATTTTGTGATAAAATTGCAAATACATTTCAGGCC